CCAGCCTAAAAAGCGGGTGTGCCCTTCCACAGGTCTCTCTCTCCCTCTTTCCGTACTCTTTCCTTCCATATTCTCTCCCCTCCACGCGGTCTCTCTCTCTCTCTCTCTCTCTCTCTCTCTCTCTCTCTCTCTCTCTCCCCCTCCCTCTCTCCCTCCCTCCTTCCCTCTTTCCGTATTCTCTCCTTCCATAATCTCTCCCCTCTGCGTGGTCTCTCTCCTCTCTCTCTCTCTCTCTCTCTCTCTCTCTCTCCCTCCCTCTCTCTCTCTCTCCTAATAAAGCTCTAGAAAGGTAACCATGGCTCGTGATTCTTCTGCCACTGCAGCATCCAGCGCTCTGTCAGCATGACCACCATGGGCGGCCAGCCATGCGCACCACTGCTTAACAAACATCTGGTGCTGTTCAGACTCAGATAGATCACTGAGGACCTGCTGCGACCACTGCTGCCGCAGCTGCTGCCTCCTCCCCCATCCAGCGAGACTGCGAGCAATCCCTCGCCTCCACTGGACCCCCACACAGCTACTGCTACTGCTACTGCCATGATTCTTCACCACAGTGAGTGAGTCCGCCGTTCTCGTGGCTGTAGTCTAAACTATATTCTTTGTGACGAACACCCCGGGGGTTGTCCTCGGGCTGCGCTGGCAACAGCAGACACATTTTCGCTCCTGACGAGGGGGTCAATGCGGTCTTGGGTCCACCAGTGGACCACCTGCAGCGCACGCAGCAGTCCTTAGCATCCCTTAACAAAGAGGATGGCTAGCTTGAGCTGATTCATAGATCTTTCTTCACTCCTTGGGGACCCCTGAGATTGGAGTCTGATCCCGGTTTGTTATTTTAATTTTTTATTTTTCTCTCGGCTACAGCCATGGGACAAAGGGGCAGATACCAGTAAATCTGGTCGCATAACAGCTTTGCGGAAACTTCAGCCAGCGAACGGGCAAATAAAAGAGTTACTCTATCCCCAAGCTTTCTGCTAAAGCTCTAAACCCTTCTCCCTCCCCATTTCTGCCTCTGCCATGTGAAACCTTTTCTGTCTGACTTCCACTGGCAGTGGGCGGCTCAAATGGGCAGGCTTGGGCGACTTCTACGGACTCTCGCTCTAACTCACCTTAACTCCATCCACTCATTCTCAAACTGCCTTGGGAGGCACAGACAGATCTGGAAGCGGCTAAGATCCATACAAATAAGTTTATAGTAGTCAGGATGGCTCTCAAGCCAAATATCAGCTTATAGCCTCAGGCAAGTCTTCCAAAAGGATTGGTTTATAGTCTGCCTCCTGGCAGATCTTCCAAAAGCTGTCCTTAAGTCAATAATCATCAGAAAGCAAAAAACTTCAGGACATGGAGTAAAATCCGTCTTCTTGTTCCCCAGACCTCCCTGACTAAAACTTAAGCATCTGGAGAACAAGGCTCCTGACCCCACAGGCAAAAGAGTCATCTGTGACATTTAAGGTGTGCCAGGGAAGAGATAAAAGCCTGAAAACAAAATTGCCAAGTGCTGGCACTCGCTGACTCTGAAAGCTGTTAGATCCCTGTTTTAAGTGAGGAAAAAGGCCATGGGCGAGTGCCCTACCAGACCATCAACAGCCTTGTTAAAAGTGCCACCTATAAAGACAGCCAGTCAGCTGACTGCCCCTAGGCACCAAGACGCATGGGTACATCAAGCTAAGACCTCCAACAGATCTAGGCTTGGCTACAGACATGGCAGGGAACCCAGAACGCAGCAGGGAAGCAATCTGTTTCTTTCCGTCTGGACACCAAAACCACTAACTTGGTCCTGGGAGTTTTGGGATGTCACCTCTCCTTTCTCTGCTGTCGGGTACAGAGGACAGCCTTACCCACCTCACCAGATTTAATTGCACTTTCAGAGTTACTTAATGGGAAAAGATTTTCAACTAAGATAAGAGCTTTTATTTCATTGCCTCATTCCAGATTTACTGCCTGTATTTTTCACGTGTACACAGACAGGGCCCTGATCTTTGCATTGTCCCTAATTCCAAAAAATAAGTTCTCATGCACCACAAGTTTTTCTCTTCCCAGTTCCCTGTTCTAATTCACTGTTCAGCTAATGATAGAGGACCACCACAGAAGCAGAGTCCAGAGATCATCAAGTAAGAAACTGTAACAGCTAAAAGGTATTTACACCCCCAGACCCAAAAGTGTCTGGACGCTACAAAAAAGACTTTAATGTAAACATCTATTACTGTGAGATGCTTTTAACAATTGATCACCTGTCTCCTGGATGCTGAACTAGCAAAGGAAACAGGTGCTTTAAAATAATCTGTCTCTGATAAAGCTTAACATGTTTCAGAATCCATCTAGACAGGCCAGATCTACCTCAGATAAATGCCAACATAAAATAATAATGATTCTTTTCTCTCTAAGATTTTTTCTGTGTCACCAGCATCTTGTCAGACAAAAGGTTCCCAGCCACAGCCAAGAAGGATACATGTCTCCAGAGCAACGGATGGCAGACAGTATCCCACAACGCCTGTCTACCTCAAAAGACTCCCCTTCCTCATTTCCCCAAGAGCCAACCAAGAGCCAACAGTCAGCTGGAAGCAGCTTTTGAGAAAAACAATGCCCCTATTCCCATCTACCTGCTTTTTTTATATAATAAGAGAAAATCTGGGATGTAAGGATTATGTTCTTATTACATCACTAGCCTGCAAGGCGTGCCCTTCCATGGGTCTCTCTCTCCCTCCTTCCGTACTCTCTCCTTCTTTATTCTCTCCCCTCCACTCTCACTCTCTCTCTCTCTCTCTCTCTCTCTCTCTCTCTCTCTCTCTCTTTCTCTCTCTCTCTCCCTCTCTCCCTCCCTCTCTCCCTCCCTCCCTCCCTCCCTCTCCTAATAAAGCTCTAGAAAGGTAACCATGGCTCATGATTCTTCCGCCAGCACTCTCTGCCGTCGGCATGGCTGCCGCTTAACCAACAATAGCTACTCTGCTTCTACACATGTATTCAAAAGAAACAAATTGGCATAGCCAAGGAGATAGACACATGCTCAGGGTTATTGTGGCAATCTTCATAGTAGCTGAGATATGGAATCTGCCTAGGTATTCATCAGTAGATGAATGGATGCAGAGAACAGAGAAGTATTATTTAGCAATAAAGAAGTATTAAATTGAAATGATGAAGGTAACACCATCCTGTCCCAAGTTTGTCTGTCTAGTCACTCCTTAGGCTTCCACCCCCACCAACAGCCTTCTCTGCCTTGGAAATACTTCAGAACCAGTCCACGGCCTGGAACATAGTCCAAACATATTATGAATTGTCTAGAAGATACTACTGAGTCTTGCAAAGAAATCAGATGTTGCTAGGCCACTCTAAATCCCTCACTAATGTAGCCCTCCCACACACACCTTGAGCATTGACATAATTATGGTTTTGTCTTTAAAAATGCTGTACCTCAACTTGGGCATCAACAGACTTTTCAGAGGCAGGAGCCTGTTCTTGGTCTGATCATCAATAAAAAAGAACTCAAAACTTTTAATTGGCTTAAACAGCATGGTTGTCAATAACTATCTTACATAGATTACTTCAAAATCATGCACTTTGCAGCAACATGGATATCACAGGAGTTATATCCTGTTAAGTTAAATAAGACACAGATAGACAAACAAGTATTGTGTGCTCTCAGTGTAATTTGTAGTGGCATTCCTGCTGAGCTGCAACTGGCCTGGCTCCAGAGAGTAGCACCTAGCCCTAATCCATCTTTTGTTTAGCAGACACCTTTTGTTTCCCTTGTTGCCCTCTATGAATCTTGTCTCAGGATACAAAGGCCTATGCAAAACCTGATTCAGGAAATCCTTGGTACCTGACAAATCAAGGAATTTGCACTTGGCATTGTATTGTTGGGAGCTCCTTTCAGGTTGTTTTGAGCATATGGAAATTAACTGGCTAAATTATAATGGAGAGAAATAAAACTGCCCTAGGACACCCCTGTAGCCAGGAAAGGCTAGATTTATTCTTAAGATGCCTCTGAGTCTTCATTCCATGGATCTGCATGAACCCACACCCCACACACCCACGTCAGGACCAGTTACAGTAATTAAATAAAATTAATCTAAATATTGCACTGTGATTATGCGAGGTAGAAAAAAAGCAAGATTTGATGCAGCACACTATAGGTATATATTGAATTATGACACTGAACCCCAGACATATATACATAGTGTCTTAGTTAGGGTTTCTTTTTTTTTTTTTAAAGATTTATTTATTTATTATGTATACAGTGTTCTGCCTGCATGTATGCCTACAGGCCAGAAGAGGGCACCAGATCTCATTACAGATGGTTGTGAGCCACCATGTGGTTGCTGGGAATTGAACTCAGGACCTCTGGAAGAGCAGTCAGTGCTCTTAACCTCTGAGCCATCTCTCCAGCCCTAGTTAGGGTTTCTATTGCTGTAAAGAGACACCATGACCATGGCAACTCTTACAAAGGAAAACACTTAGCTGAGGTGGTGGCTTACAGTTTCAGAGGTTTAGTCTATTATCATCATAGCGGGGAGCATGGTGGCATGTAGGCAGACAAGGTGCTGGAGGAGCTGTTACATGTTAATATGCAGGCAACAGGAAGTGAACTGAGTATCACAGTGACAGAAGCTTGAACAAAGGAGACCTCAAAGCCTTCCCCAACAGTGACACACTTCCTCCAACAAGGCCACACCTATGTCAACAAAACCACACCACCTAATAGTACCACTCCCTTTGGGGGATATTTTCTTTCAAATCACCACACATACACAGCAAATACATTTGAATAAAAGTAAAATTTAAAAATATATTTATACTGATATGAGACTGAAGGTGGATACAATATATGTAAGTTTATCAAGAGTAAAGACTGAAAAGTAGTATTGTTACAATATAAATTTTAATTACCATGAAGAATAAACATTTCTTGTTTGTTAAATACAAATATTTAAACACAGGTATATGTTTATATATATACTCACATGTGACCATTTGGATAAAATAAGCATGCTGAAGGATCTGCTTACCAGGACTTCCTCCATCATGAAAATCTGGATTCCTGGGTTGTATAGAAGGATGATTAGGAAAAAGAAATGTTGTTTTCCAGCCTGTCTTGTCTGGCCACCAGATGGTCCTCTGCACACCAATAAAACGTAAATGATATTTTATCTGAAAGTATTAATAAGAAGTCATGTATGTTGAAAGTCACAAAGAAACTTTAAAAGCAAATGTTAGCAATAAAGTTACATCCTACTAGAAAAACATGTGACTTTAAGGATGAAACCAATCTGACAAATTCTGTATGCCTAGCATTTACAATGAGCAAGGTAGAGAATGTATGCACACTAGACCCATTTGAATTCTACTCAAAATACAGAAAACACACAAGACATGCATGAAAAGATTATCAAGGGCATGCAATGAAATAAATGTAAATGTATACTACAGAAATATAAACTACCTATTTAAACTTATATTGGCAAAATAAAAAGCTGAGTAATAAATGTTTGCAGAACTTAGACACACAGGCACTTGAATCCAATCCTTGTAGGTTAAATGGAAAATGGCACACCAATGGATGGCCTAACAACTAAGGGCTCAAAAGAGGTATGGTTCATCTACCTGGGAAAGCATACTAGACACTCTACATTGTTGGCTAACAGTGACTCAGTTATAATTAAATACTACAAATAAAATATTTCCTTATATTAAAATCCCTGTTGAAAACCTACAGAACTGTCTGTGTTCCCTAAAAGCAGTTTGACTACTAGAAATATGCATAGATTATTATAAAAGATCAGAAAGTGTAGGGATACAACTGTAAGCTGAATGAAAATTCACAGGAGCAACCCCACGTTAAAGAAAATTACATGGCCAAAATCCCAGAAGCAGAAATATATGGTATCTGTATGGAGTTTCTTGGTTAAATAGTAAAAAATTGCAGATATGGGAATGGAGACACATCTGGATGGCCATAAATCTTGTGCCAAATACTGTATGTGAGCCTATGTAAGCCACTAGAATTTTTAAATTTATTTTCAAAATGTATTATTATTATTATTATTATTATTTTTTTTTTTTTTTGGTTTTTTCAAGACAGGGTTTCTCTGTGTAGCTTTGCGCCTTTTCCTGGAAATCACTTGGTAGCCCAGGCTGGCCTCGAACTCACAGAGATCCGCCTGGCTCTGCCTCCCGAGTGCTGGGATTAAAGGCGTGCGCCACCACCGCCCGGCTCAAAATGTATTAATTATTATTATTATTATTATTATTATTATTTTTAATTTTTATTTGTGTGTGTGTGTGTGTGTGTGTGTGAGTGTGTGTGTGTGTGTATTTATATATATGATGAGGGGGGCGGGGAGAGAGAGAGAACACACAGGTATATTCATGGCCTGTACATGGAAATCAGAGGATTATCTTTCAGGAGTCAGTTATCTCCTTCTGCCAGGGGTTCCAAAGATCAACCTCAGCTCATCAGGCTTTCAAGGCAAGCATTTTACCTATGGAGCCATGTCAAGTACCCACACTATAGTTTTTTACTAGAATAAAGACATGATCTCATCCAAGGTTGAACAGGTTCACTGATATTCACATGGATAAACAAAAGTTTTGTCAGTAAAATAAACTAAAGAGAATTGGAATCTATTAGTTTTACATTATAAATAAAGTCATCAACAGATACCAGAGTATTCATTTAGAAAACCATCAAAACAAAGCTGTCAAGATGGCTCTGGGGGTAAAAGTACTTGCTATGCAATCCTAAAGAACCAAGTTTGATTCCCACAACTCACAGTGGAAGGAGACTGAGTCTCCAAAGTTGTCCCCTGACTGCCACAAGTGTTCTGTGATTGTGGCTGAGTGCCTGTGCTCACACACACACATCATAAACAATAATAATAATAAATAAATAAAATTTTAGAAAGAAAATTATCAAAATAGGCTAAGCACTAGAGACAATTTATGAGAATTTTAGCATTGAGAATTTCATTCAAAGATTTGAGAACAGTCTGTAGGTAGGGAAAATAAAACATAAAGATATTGTCTTAGGGTTTTATTGCTGTCAAGAGACACCATGACCTCAGCAAATCTTATAAAGGAAAACATTTCACTGGGGCTTGCTGTGGAATAATCTTGTACATTGTAAAGATTTGTCACTCGGATTGGTTTAATAAAACACTGATTGGCCAGTAGCCAGGAGGGAAGTATAGGTGGGGTGACCAAACTAAGGATGCTGGGATGAAGAAGGGTGGAGTCAGGAGAGCCATTGTCACAAACTATTACAGGCTGCAGGATTATGAAGTAGGGATATAGCTGTCATTTAACAAGGTCAGTCTATCAAAATAAGGATTCTGCTGGAGGAAACTATCATGCGAGGCCTTTTGGAATTACTGCCTTTTGAACGAATTGGCCATTTTCTTGCTATAGGCTTTCCCCATCTGTTACAAATTTGGGATTCATTTCCCACAGTTTAGTGGTGTTCTGATCATTTATTGGGCATGATTTCCCCCATGCATTTGGGGTATATTGATAACATTCCCTAGCTATGTGTGAAACATTCACATAGTCAAACCTGTTTCCTACAACCAGGTCTTTGTTCCTTTCTCCAATGTAGATGTAGAGATCTGCCTTCCTGCAATTATCTTCATTGGCAAGCATTTGGTCAGTGTTAAGTGTCCAGGCAAAAGTATCTCATTTGAGATATTCTCAGACACCCAAGGACACAGAATCACAACATTTCTGAATTTGCTGATTCACAGCCTTTAGACAGATAGGGAATAAGTGTGCCCTGGTTTCACCCTACTAGTAGATAGGAAAAGTGCTGCCCCAAGCTAACCTCACACTAACAAATTCTTAACACTTTGTACTTACTTTCACCTTGGTTTATTAATTAGCTTATTATCTAACCACACTTAGGAATGCAGTATTACAGATGGATTCCCCTTTTTCCCTTCTTAGAATTCCCTAATTGATTTAAGGTCTCTCTCCCTCTCATTTGACCCTGTTCCCTTCAGAAGTTCACTGAGGCTATTATAAGTCACTCCCACCTTGAGTCGTAAAGAAAACCTGACAGTTACCATCTTGTGCAGTTCTTATCTGCTTTTATGACCCTAAAAGTATTCAAGCCTTGTGACCTTGCTTTGGCCAGAGAATTGCTGATTGTATGTGAAATGAATGATAAACAACGCTGGTGGCTGCACTTGTTACCAGCAGAAAGGTCACAGGCACGATAGAACCTGGTTGCTTAGTAGTGGAGAGCTTTATTAGGAGGAAGAGAAGGAGGGATAAAAGGACCAGGCCTGGGGAGGAAAGAGAGAGAAAGACGGTGGAGTGGGAGGAGGGAGAGAGAAGAGCAGAATAGAGAGAGGGTGGGGTCTGTGTCTGTCTTTTTAAGGGATCCCGGTGAAGTGGGCTTAGGGAGCTACACCATGCATGTGCTGATTGCATGACCACACCGTGTGCACGCAGTCACCAGTGCACACTGATGATGTAAGATGCAAGAACCTTTGCTTAACTCCTGAACTGCGCCTGTGTGGTCATGTAGTTGGAGTGAGGGCAGAATTCTAACAATGTGTGCATAAAAACTAGAAAACTTTGGAGACTCTGGGTAGAAGAAAGAGAGAACAGTGGTGAGATGAGGGGGCTTACTTAGAACAATAAGGAGATAGACTGAAAGAGCACAGTGCATAGACTCATTCTTTATCCCTCAGGTTAGATCCTTAGCTGGTTGTAGAGTCTCCTTTGAACTCTGAGAGAGAGCCTTTTTTGGCTGGATCATTAAAGGCCTTTGTTAGAGAGTCGTGAGGAGATACAGAGAAACAAGATGGGCATGCTGTACTGAGAAAAGGTACCAAGCCATGTGGCAAAGCATAGATAAGAAATATGAGTTAATTTAAGTGTAAGCCTGAGCTATTGGCCGATCATTTATAATTTATATTAAGTCTCCGAGTCAGTTATTTGGGAAGTGGCTGCCTGTTATTTGGAAGCAGGTGGTCAGGACAAGAAAATTCCACCTATGGTGGGGGGCTTACACTTCAGAGTTTAGCCCATTGTCATCATGGTGGGAAACATGGTGGCACACAGGCAGACATGGTGCTGGAAAATGAACTGAGAATTCAACATCTGGATTCACAGGCAGCAGGAAAAGAATGACATATTAGGTGTGACTTGAGCAACTGAGACCTCAAAGCCTGTCCCCTAGTGACACATCTCCTCCAACAAAGCCACACTTACTCCAACAAGGCCATACTTCCTAATAGTGTCAATCTCTAGGGGCCCATGGGGGCCATTTTCTTTCAAGCAACCACAGACACAGACTTTGAGACAATGTCTGTTGAGAAAATGCACATGTGCCTAAATCCTCATCAACAGATATACAGCTCTATGTTACAGAAAGCTGACATAGATGAATGAATGGAGCCTTGAAAATATGGGCTAGACATTAAGATTATATGGATCCTACTTCTGCCTCCCCATAAGCACCTGTCTTAGAAACAGTGGGTGTGGATCCATCTCTAGATTCTACAGATTGATCATTTATTTCTATAACCACCAGGATGGGATGCCCTATATAAATTTTGCTAGAGACTTCAAATTCAAAGCATTGCTCTTTCCTCTTCTTTCTGTGACACCACCAGTTTTTCTTCTGTCCTGATATCCTAAGGCTGAATTGATACAGCCAAGACTTCAAGTTTTCTGGAGATTTATAAAAGGAATTATATTCTGTCTTTGATTCAAAGAAAGGATTTCTGAGTTCAGTTGTCTGCTAATAAAAATGCCTCTGACTTAAAACATATCTTTGCCACCCCATATGTACTATGACAAGTGCTGGTTAACTAAGGTTTCCCCTTAGTCTACAATACTCTCCTGTATGTTTTGTGTTGCCAGGACCACAACACCTGACAGAAACAATTTCAAGGAATAAAGATTTACTTTGACTCAGTTTCAGAGGTTTAAGAAAAGCATGGCAGAGCAGAATAGTTCACACTGTAGCCAAGAAAAAGAAAAGGGGAAATACCGGGACTCTGCTGGCTTTTTTCTTTCCTCCTTTTATTTTGTCTATATAGCCATGGGATATTTCTCTCCACATTTAGGATGGGTCTTCTTCCCTTAGTGACCCTTTCTGGAAATACCTTTATAGGTTTCTTAGGTGATTCTAAATCTAGTCAAGATGATAATGAAGACTTAGAATCATGCTCCCTTATAATCAGTAATATGTATAAAGGCAATAAGTCAACACAGATGGATTAATATTCTTGTTTTATTACATATTACTAGTTTGTTCCCAGGAATGATACTTTCTTCATATGCAAAACTGGGCTAATAGTAATTAATTCATTAAAAAATCTTAAACACTAAAGGTACTGTTATGAGAACACAACTTATTTGAAAAGTAAAATTTTCTTACCTGAAGTGGCAGAGTATCCTTCTTGTTTTTGAAGTCACAGTCAAAAACAATAGCACCCAGCACTTTCTGAGATGCAAAACCAAGCAGACTATATTTCTCAAACTCTGCTTCCGAAGGAAAACCTCGAACTACAGGAAGACAAAATTATCTGCTTAAATAAAAACATCTGATAATCCTGTTTGAGAGGTAGGATACTACTTTACACAGATAAAAACTTATTAAAATATTGTGAATCTTATGACTTTTTTTTCTTAAATGTTGACATGAGTAACTAAGACTTTGGGTACAAAATCTTAGAGGTGTTTTATAAAATTTTACTACGAAAAGATTATGTGATGTTAGATGAAACAGTAGCATAATGTACATCCAACCAAGACAATCTATAGAGACAGAAAGCACTTTAGTGTTTCCTGATATGGCAGAGTTCAGAGACTATATGGTTTCTTTGGAGGTGATAACATTCTAATGATTGCCGTAGTGCTTGTACCACTCCAAGTACACTGAGATCCACTGACTCATGTACATTAAATAGATATATGGTATGCTCAAAAATAGGAGCACAGAGGATGCATGCCCTGTGAACATATCAAGAGACTCTTATGGATTGATTTGGACATTTAAAATATTTTTCCGGCCTCTCCTGGCTCCCTCCCATTTTAAGGTTTGTAATTCTAATAACTCTTACCTTTACTTCTCCCTCAATTCTCTTTCCAGTTGTCAGTCCAGGACTTCCTTTCCTTCCTACATCCATCAGTTAAGACATTTAAATCATGGATACACTTTTGGTATCTTTTAGATTGACTCACTAGAGCGTTACCCTGACTGCCACACCCAATGCCCTAATCAGCTGCAAGAAGTCAGATCAGCCATTATCCTTATTCCCTAATGGCAGTTATGGTCACCTCTTCAGAGGTGGTTGATGAGAATAAGTGACAGTAACTGGACAGGGAACTCAGGGCAGGGACCACACAAAACATGGCTAGGAATACCAGAAGGGAGTTCTGTTTCTCATCTCCTCCTAAATGAGCATTGTCTAAAAGTTTCTATGTGAGAGCAGGGTATAGAACTTCGGTACAGACATTAGCACCATATTTGGAATTAGATTTCCAGATTTCCATGAATATGGGTTATATATATTCCACAATTTTAGCTCATATCCTAAAGGATTTTAGGGTTACCTACTTAGAGGGGAGAATGACACAGAAACAAGGGAAAACTGGTTCCTCAGGATAGAGACCTAACATTTCAAGCTATCCAAAACATAAATGAGTTAATCTAGTTTGGCAGATTTATGACCCGGACAAGGGACCAAGCCCTAGGAAGGCAGGATCACTGCTGGGAAGGCAGAAATGAAAAAAAGAGAAGAAAAGGTGGAATAATTATTCCTTTAATGAGATTTCTTTCTCTGGGCAGCTGATGAAATTATACCTTCCTGGTCCTGATATTTTTCTTTTTTTAAACTGTAATAATTTTTCTTTGAATAAACTTTAGCTTTGCTTGACTTTCAAAGATATATTTGAGAGTTACAATATTGCTGGCATAGTTTTTAATTTATCTAGAATTGAAAGCTCCAGGGCTGGGGACACAGCTTAGCAGAAGGCTTGCCCTGCATGTAGAAGACCCGTAGATGCAATCTTCACTGCAAACAAACAAACCCAAGCCCCCAAACCAATCTCCACAAAATGATAACCTGAAGAGAAAATACCAGTTTTAAATCAACTGTAAGAAACAGAGAATGACTTTTAACTCCAAAAGCAAGCACTTCTGTATTATATAACAGGAATCCATATAACTCACATCTTTCTTATTCATCATGAATTTTGTATCATGTCTAAGGAATCAACTAGCTCCAAGTTATAAAGATTTTCTCACATGTTCTCTTCTAAAGGCTTCACCATTTTACATTTAGATCTATGATTTATTTTCAGTTAATTTTAGAGAAGATATGGATTTTCATTATTGTAGCTGTTGGTGTCCAATTGTTCCAGTACTATTGTTGAATAGATTTATTTCACCACATTCTGGTGCATCATTATCAAAGTCATTCTGGTGTCTTAGTGCAACAGATCTACGTTTGGGTTCTCTCTTCTCTCACTGATTTGTCTATCTCTACCAATTCCACATTGACCTAGTTATTAGCACCACACTGCAAGTCTTAAGAGTAGAACACAGGATCCCCTTCAACCTTAACTTTCAGCATTATTTTGTTTTTACAGATGTAGCAGTCTTTTATAGAAAACTTGCATGTCTAACCTTTTAGAGTGGTGTTGAGATTCTTCTTTACATTCTCAATAATTTCTGTTACCACATCAATATCAGAAGGTATGTAAATCAATTCCCACTCCTTGGCATCTTTGATGAAAGAAGGCATGGTAGAAATGGGTTGAGGCTTGAAATGATACGGTCCAGCAACATCTATACCAGTAAGTGTACGGAATATCAACAGCATTATTACAAACAACAATGCTGCCAAGACTTCTGTTACTGAACTAATCATCCGCCTCTTCTAAAATAAGAAAAAGTTACTGATTAGCTTAAGAGTACAGAGCATACATTCAATGCAAATGAGAGATTTATTATATTTTTACTTCTGTACCACCATAGAATAAAGGGATGATATATGCTTAGGACCTGAACTTATGACCTGTCAGCCATTAAAAGTATGGTATATATTCTATGCATTCAGTTCTCACAAATAATCTTACAGATAACACAGAAAACTGGTACATCATCATTATAAAGTGTATTGGCAAACTGTCATGTGCTATTTATACATGCTGAGAGTGGACTATGGGAGTGAAGAGTCCCTTCTTCATATTTGAGCCTGTTTAACTCAAGTGTCCTCCAAGAATCCTTGTCCTAGTGAAGACTGGCCCCTGATGCTGTGGCAAGGAGGAAGGGAATAGCAAATAGCTAACAGTATTAAAAAACGTATGGCCTTGAGAACAGGTATAAAGTAACCATTTCCATCTGAGTTTGCTATTGTTGATCTCATGTTATAAAATACCTGTGCTGGGAATGAGAAGCCAGAAACTCATCCATGCAGAGGACATTCTGCCTTGGACTCTCTGTCAGGCACCCCAACATGACTGTTTAAACAGTGCTTCCCCAGTTGCTTCTGCTGGATGTCACAAGGACCAGATTTGATGTTTTGCTGTCTATCTGCCGCTTTATATTTCTTCTTTTACTTAAAGTCCTCACCCAAGGGAGCACTGCTCTGTCTGGGATTCTCAGTCTCACACTCTAGCAGACTGTCTCAATGGGACTTCCCCAGTCAATTTCTACTGATTTGTGAGACACAATTTTGTTATCTGCTGCTTTCCTTTTGTTCTTTCACTTTAGCTTGCTGCATGCTTAATAAACTTCCTCATTTGAAACTGAAACTATGGCTCTTACAAGTCATTCTCTGGACAGAACAATCACTAAATTAATGATGCCTTTGCCACAATGTCTCCTAAATTAATCTAAGTGATTGTTAAGCTATTTAGAAAATGAGGCCACAGGGCAACCATAAAAGGACAAAGCCAAACAAACTCCTGGGCTTTAGCCTGTTATACAACAAAAGTAGAGGATGGGCTTCTCTTTTCAACAGTTTTGTCATGAAATGCCAGATTATGGGACAAGGCAGATATTTACAGACTAGAAGCTCTTCTATGACCAGACCACCTATAATCGCTGCGATTTTACATAGCTACTTGAATGACCACTAGTAAATCCTGAATCTCTCAAAATGAAGAGTAAATAAGGGGACAGAATTCTTACCAAAGAAAAGCTTAAATAAAGATACCTTGGTTCACTTATTCTGTGTTGACTTTAAAATCACTAATTTTAGAAGATACCCAGTTGGACAGTATATCATTAGTTTTCTACGAGATTTTCTATAGATAACATCTCTGATATGTGGATTATAATTAAGTTGCCTAGGTTATTTTGCAAGACCTTGAAGGCTACTTTGGTAAAACACTGAGTCTTTGGCCCTGCAGCTATCTAACGTAACTTGAAAAACAATGACAAGCTTTGGTACCTCTGTTTTTCCTATTTTGTTTCACACCTCTCTACTTCAATCTTGGGTCAGTCTATTCAGTGCTGAATGTAGATTTGGAGATCAGTTGAGAAATGTTGTGTTCAAAACTATAATTCAAGGTTAAATGAATCTAGATTTATCTAGTCTCTCTCCCCCAGTTCTCATGATCAGAAACATCAGACTGTAAAGGAAGGAAAGAGGGAGTACCCGAGTTCCAGGAAGTTCTCCATGTATTCCCAGAAAAGAAGGATGTCCTTCCCTTTGTTGGCTTCTCTCTCCGTTACTTTAATAATCATACCTTTCCTATTTTAATTTCCTTCAAAAGCAGTCTCCACACTAACCTAGAGGCAGTAGCTACAGACACTCCTGTGTTGCCTTCCTTTTTCTCTGCAGTAGAAGCCCTTAACAAACACCTTATCTGGGGATTTTCTTCTGGCCTTTGTATATATTACTACCTCTAAGCTCTAGGCCTGGGTTCTGAAGTCCCCCTGAACTATCTCAACTACCTCTTCCCTTCTCCCCACTTTTTCATGTCACTCTATAGTGTTGATTCATTGGCTTTTATATATTTGGAAGATCTACCCACAGTTTTGAGTTTTTCAAAAGTGCATGCACAGGTGTACACAGACTGCAATGGAACAATCAGGCTCTTATAGACATCCCCATGCATACCTTTACCTACCTTTAATGTAAAATTTTTCCAGAGAAGAACTGTTAATTGGTTGACTATCAACCAATTCATCCTTCTTCAAAAAATGTGTGCTCAACTCTAGGGATGAAAGGTGGTTTTCTTCCTTTTTCTTTTCTTTCTTTCTTTTACAATGGTAAGTTACCTAAAATGTGAGCAACAAACAATGGGGTTATTTCTTTTTACTACTTTTCTCTTTAATCAGTCTCAAAATAGGTAAGATTACATATCTGAAATGAAGCAAATTGTCTTGGTCCTAACTTTTTCTATTAGTATTCTTACTATAAAATAACGATTCTTAATAGTTAATACAGAAACTGGAAAGTAGAAAAATATAAGTAAGATGTGGTTCCGTTTTTTTTTTTTTTTCAGGTAAAAATGATATAATAATAACAACAGGATCTGATTTTTTAAAAAATTCTGTTCTTAATATATTAATCATAATAAATAAATCATCACTATTACAGCAACAAATAAAAAAAACAAATCAGTGGAAAGTAGTATGTTTTCATATGCTCAGAGTATAACACTCCATTCCAAGCGTTGATGTGTAAACATATTTAAATTCTATTATAGTATTTACTGCACATTTACTGCACATCATCATATTCTATGCTAGCTATTGAGTATAAAATCAGACTCCATTTAAGCTCTGATGGTATTAATTTTAAGGAATATCAGCTTGAAAAATCACTCTATGGTGGACCATCTAGCATGGCTGTATGAGAAGGTCAGAATCTATTTCTAACAGCAAAATAGCTATTAAATTGCTGGAAATTAAAAACACAACAATTACTAGGTGTGGTTGTTGCTAGAGTTTTCCTGCCTGGCCCACAGTCAGGACAAATCTCTCTCACCCGCCAGTCCCAAGCCGCTCAAACCCGATCAAGTAAACACAGAGACTTATATTGGTTACAAACTGTATGGCCGTGGCAGGCTTCTTGCTAACTGTTCTTACAGCTTAAATTAATCCATTTCTATTAATCTATACCTTGCCACGTGGCTTGTGGCTTACCGGTACTTTACATCTTCCTTATCCTGATGGCGGCTGGCAGTGTCTCCCCCACCCAGCTTCCTGTTCTCTCCATTCTCTTTTCTGTTAGTCCCGCCTATACTTCCTGCTGGCCACTGCCAATCAGTGATTTATTCATTGACCAATCAGCAACACATTTGACATACAGACCATCTCACAGCATGTGGTGGCACACACTTTTTAATACCAGCACTCAAGAGTAAGGACAGATTGGTCTACATTATCTGTTCTAGGCCAATGATGGCTATATAGTAAGACCCTATCTAAAGAAAATAAAAATAAAAACACAACCATTAAAAGCCTCTAACAATTGACTTAGAAAATAAAGAAACATTTATTCAAATAATCTACTAAATCTTGGAAAGGATACTGAGTTGGAGCATTTGAACCATCTCTCACACATCCTCCCTCCTGGTCCTTCATCTTCTTCCCCCATCTGACTCCATGTTAGTTCTAGTCTGGGAAAATCTGATTGAGATGAGAGCCTCTCCAAAACTCTAATATAATATTATGATTGTACCCCATAAGAGGAAGAGTACTGAAGATGTCCCATTTAGGCTAAGGACCCAGTTTTTCTTCTCAGTACTTTGATTCATTATGCATCTCTCCACTGACTAATACACAATATAAAAAGAAGCTTCTCTAAAGCTGAGAGTAGCCCAGGTCTATGAATATAAATATAAATTTAGAAGGCAATTTGACAGCAGGACCATTTAGCAAGATAACAATAACAGGTTCTATGCTAGGACTTATAACCTCCCCAGCCATGGACTTTTGACCAGGTTTATAGCGTCAGGCATAAAATTCCACCCCATGGAGCATGCCTCAAATCAAATCAGAAAGAGGTTATTAACCCCTAACAGTGTTCCACTATTGCACCAGAGGGCACATTTTTGCCTGGCAGGTTGGTATTGTAGCACACAGGGTTTAGTGGTGGGTAAGATCATAGACTTTTTTCTTCTCCAAGGTCTGCATAGCACCTTCTAGTAATGTGAAAACCAGCCAGTAGGGAGGAAGTTCCAGTCAATTTGATATTAATTTTTGTGTGTTCTGCACCCAAAATGTGTGGTGTCTTCAGGTGAACCCACCTTCAATCGGGTTTTACCATGTAGTTAGAATGAGCAATCACAAACAAGGTAATAGCTTCCTGACAAAGGAAACACTGAAAAAAGGGAAGTGGAAAGACTTTAAGAGCCAGAGGTTGGGAAGAGGAGCTGTGAAATACTACCTTCTGTACATGACATAGTTAGCCCATGCATGAATTCACAGCAGCTGTGCTTACCTGCACGCGATCAAGCCAGACAAAATTTTGGCAGACTGGGCAGGTGCTCTCAGAACCTACCTTTTACAAAGGAGCTATTGACAATTAATAGCTGCTGGGGGTGTGCTGTGGAACAATCTTTGTACACTGTAAATATGTATTGCTCTCATTGTTAATAAAACACCAATTGGCCGGTGGCTAGGCAGGATTTTCAGAGCAGAGAGAATGCTGGGAAGAAGGGTGGAGTCAGAGGAGTTGCCAGAGAGAAAGGAAGCAGCACATGCAGGAGAGGTAAAAGCCATGGGCCTCGGGACAGCACATAGATGAACAGAAATGGGTTAATTTAAGTTATAAGAGCTAGTTAGAAATAAGCCTGAGCTATCAGCTGAGCATTTATAATTAATAGTACATCTCTGAGCAGTTATTTGAGAAGTGGCTGGCAGAACAAGCTGATCATGGTCCTGACGAAAAACTCCACCTACGGGGTGGTGTGGAGGAATCTTTCTGTTTTGAGAATGTGGCCACTGGTAGTTTATCATGCTTTGGTGGATGGCTTCACATCCATAAATATATGAGCAGCACTAACTTGACTTAGTGGAGTTATCTTGGGGGATACAGTAGATGGAGGGGATAATGGGCGCAGGGGTGGGGGGGCAAATGTGATATTTCATTGCATACATGTATAAAATTCTCAAGAATAGGGTCTGGGGAGATGGCTCAGAGGTTAAGAGCACTGGCTGCTCTTTCAGAGGTTCTGAGTTCAATTCCCAGCAACCACATGGTGGCTCACAACCATATATATATATATGAGATCTGGTGCCCTCTTCTGGTGGACAGGTATATATGCAAGCAGAATACTACATACATAATAAATAAATCTTACAAAATTCTCAAGAATAAAAAATAATTATTAAAAAAATAAATAAGAGGCTTGGAGATTCTCTTTTTATCCAGGCCCCATTCATAAGTAGGAAGCCTCTCTGAGGATCTATAGGCTGAAAAACCACACACACACTTGATTATAGGAAACATCAACCCCAAAAGAAATTTCCAGCCTCTAACAGTGTGAAAAATTGACTGTTGTTGTAGCCACTCAGCTTGTGCTATTTTGTTACAAAGGGCCTGTAACTACAAGGTCATGGATACTAGACTTTAGAAATGGCTTCTTCTTAACTGTCTCAAATAGATTCAAAGAGCTAAAGGAAACAACTAAACTATCCAGTTTGAAAGCAAGAAAAAGTTGACAATAGACTAAAAGAAAGGGAAAGAAAAAAATGATAAATGGCCAACAGAAACATTAAAAGAATCTTTATAAGAGTTCTGGAAAAGGGAGTACATTTATACCACCCAATAAAGCAGAAGAACATCAGAAAAGCTACATTAGAAAGGAAAAGAAAATGGTTCATTCTGACTATGTCATCCCTTTATCAAGTAGCATATGGCAGCACTGAGAAGGATATCCTTGGCCTCTGACTTCTCCTGTAAAAGAGATGCTGAGGGTGATACCCATCTTCTCTAGTATTTAGGGTACTAACTTGGTTCATTTGGAACATTGACAGAATCATCACAACTAGACCACTTACTGAAAGCTGGAACAAATTAAGGGTGTGGTGGCTTTCAGTGACTAGTATCTTGTCCCTGACAGTGGCTTTACCTTATCATGGAGATGAGGCACTTAGCCCATCTGACTGTTAGCCCCAGCCAACAGGCTTGATTATGGAGGATAGGCTAACCATCCACATTCAATGAGTGCTTCACCTTCATTGCTGGGAACACCATATAATACCTGCCCAGGTCTATTGGAACCTGTACACAGTCTTCTGAAGAGGGGTCCCATTCCCAGTTCCGAGCATGATATATCACAGCTGACTTTGCTATGACCCACCAGAGAGGTCTTATGTCCATCTCACCAATAGAAACTAATGAATGTCAAACACATACCAAACCTAGAGCTGCTGGCTAATCTTACATATCTAACAGAACTACATCCTAGCTAGCAGAGCTATCCAACAAATTATTGCAAACTTAGCTATGGAGACATATGCAAGAACTGCTAGATGCTGATTACGCATGAAGAAGCAAGACAGTGATTGTATAACTGTGTTTACCTGGAATCAAAATCAATATTCTCTACTAATGTGACATGTCTCTACAAAGACAGAAAAGTCTTTTATTGTGAAAGACACAGTATCAACGTTGTAAAGTCAGTAAACCTGACAGGAACACAGTATGGCAGGAACCAAAAGAAGCATGAATCTAAGTGGAGGTATATAGCTATTCTGTGCACTAAATTATTTTATATTTGAATTTTTAACAACAAAATGTCAGAACATAAAACATAACATAAAATCAACAAATTTAAAATCTGATGAACCCTAATAAAACTAAAAAGGAAAAGGAAAGGGGTATGAAAAACAAAAAGAGGGGACATCCCTTTAGATCCTATAGAAACTGTAAAGAAAGAAAAACAAAAGCTGTATCAAATTTAAAGGTCATTAAAAGATAATTCCAGTTGCTCAGAAAGATGCTGAGCACCAGAAACTCTAAAATACTGCAATGGAATCACAAATCACAATTTCATATGAGCATTTAGAAACACAGTTTTTCTTTATCCACCAAAAGTGGTGAGGTGAATTCTATAATAATATATTTATCCCAATAAAATACAAATACACTTGCAGTAATAAAAATAGAAACAAATATATAGGCTATCCATATTGATATTAAATAATATCATAATAATAATTTGTAATATATAAA